TGTTGATTGTGGAGTATTCCTCCTCAGTCGTGGATGGTTCCTCTGTGTTGATTGTGGAGTATTCCTCCTCAGTCGTGGATGGTTCCTCTGTGTTGATTGTGGAGTATTCCTCCTCAGTCGTGGATGGTTCCTCTGTGTTGATTGTGGAGTATTCCTCCTCAGTCGTAGATGGTTCTCTGTCATTGTGGAGTATTCCTCCTCAGTCGTGAATGGTTCCTCTGTGTTGATTGTGGAGTATTCCTCCTCAGTCGTGGATGGTCCTCTGAGCTCATTGTGGAGGATTCCTCCTCCGTCGTGGATGGTTCCTCTGAGCTCATTGTGGAGTATTCCTTCTCAGTCGTGGATGGTCTCTCCGAGCTCATTGTGGATGGTTCCTCTCCGTCGTGGTGGAGAACCTCAGTCGTGGATGGTTCCTCTGAGCTCATTGTGGAGTATTCCTTCTCAGTCGTAGATGGTCTCTCTGAGCTCATTGTGGATGGTTCCTCTCCGTCGTGGATGGTTCCTCCTCCGTCGTGGATGGTTGAACCTCAGTCGTGGATGGTTCCTCTGAGCTCATTGTGGAGTATTCCTTCTCAGTCGTGGATGGTCTCTCCGAGCTCGTTGTGGATGGTTCCTCCTCCGTCGTGGATGGTTCCTCCTCAGTCGTGGATGGTTCCTCTGAGCTAATTGTGGAGTATTCCTTCTCAGTCGTGGATGGTCTCTCCGAGCTCATTGTGGATGGTTGAACCTCAGTCGTGGATGGTTCCTCTGAGCTCATTGTGAAGTATTCCTTCTCAGTCGTGGATGGTCTCTCTGAGCTCATTGTAGAGGATTCCTCTCCAGTCGTGGATGGTTCCTCTGTGTTGATTGTGGAGTATTCCTCCTCAGTCGTGAATGGTTCCTCTGTGTTGATTGTGGAGAATTCCTTCTTAGTCGTGAATGGTTTCTCTGAGCTCATGGTGGAGTATTCCGTCTCAGTCGTGGATTGTTCCTCTGTGTTGATTGTGGAGTATTCCTCTCCAGTCGTGGATGGTTCCTCTGTGTTGATTGTGGAGTATTCCTCCTCAGTCGTGAATGGTTCCTCTGTGTTGATTGTGGAGTATTCCTTCTCAGTCGTCGATGGTCTCTCTGAGCTCATTGTGGAGAATCCCTTCTCAGTCGTCGATGTTTCCCCACCGATCGACCAATCGTCTGTCGCGTCTCTGATCCAATCAAGGAAGCTGTCGACTCGGACGAAGATGCCTGAAGTAGCAAGGGAGTTCAAGACGTGGAGAGGGGGCGCCTATAGGGCAGGAGATGAGCAATGACGAAGTTTCGACATTGAATTATTGTGCCGAAGGATTATACTCGCAGACACTGAAAGAACCCAATTACCTGGGTGCTGAGGGCTGCCACATAGCCCTCCGTTCGTAGCGATTCCCACCAGCTGGACATTCGACCGAGCAGAAGTCCGGCAGAATAAGGGTCCTCCCGAGTCGCCGGGACAGATCCCTTTACCTCGCTCACCCAAACGCCCCGCGCAAACATGGAAGTTCTGGGAGATCCGGATGCCGTTCATGTTCCTGTACGCCCTCATGCACTGCGGACTGAGATTTTGTTCTGATTACTCGGCGAAATCGCATAATGTATGCATCTCTCGAAACCTTTCTCATGAGTCCAAACTAAGTCCAGAATTAATAGAGTTTGATTAGAAGTTGGACTGACAAAGTTAGAAGATCCAGAGGAACAGCCTTCAAGTCCTTCGAGAATTCGGAAGATTCGTCCATCTTGCCCCAGCCCAGGGCCACACAGGATTCATGAGGGATCACATCCGCGAGATCGGAATTTACGCAAGCGGGCGATACTTCATGGTCGATAGATATCTCCCTCTTGAGCTCGACGAGCGCAATATCGTTCTGGAAGGCAGCATTGAATCACAAATCAATGATGAGAATCACTCGACCAACCTCATTTCCAAGGCGACTCTCCAGGCGACTCACGATTTTACTTATGGGCGTCCATTCGGGATGTTCGAACATTCGACGAACGGGGATCTCTTGATTGGTGGGGCCTCCGATTTCGGTGGCTCCAACCGTGACGCGCGCAGCTCCCCATTTCTCAGCCTCCCTGACACAATGGGCAGCCGTTAAGACCCATCTCCGGTTGACGAGTACACCTCCGCATACATGTTTCCATTCGTGATCGCTCCACCATTCATCGCTCTTGAAAACCTCGAGAACAATATACGAATTCAGATAATGACGACTCAGAATGTCCTCCCGAAGGTGTCTGGCGGCTGGATTGTCTATGTTCCGTGCAAGGACTCCAGGATGACATTGGATGAGATCCATAGAGTTCTCAAGTCTCTCTCTTCAGCAATCAGAGCACGGGTTTGTTCTCAGTCTTCACGGGACTAACCTGGAGTGACACGACAGAGTCCGCGAGCTCAACGTTCTCCCCGCCAGCGATATAGCTCTCGTCTTTGAAGAATCTCCATGAATTTTTGCCGCATCCTTCCAGAGCAGCACTGAGAGAAACCAGGCACAGGAGACTCGCGCTGAAAAGCATCCCCGGAGAGTTCAACGAGAAAGAGACGGCCCGATGCCGCCGCATCACTTTGTAGGGCCGACTTAAGCCGTTGACGCATTTCCCTTATCCAAAGGAGCCTGTAGAGACATCCATCCGATAATGTCAAATGTTAATCCTTGACTTTGAGTTGAGTCGAGAAGTTTCATGACTTTAATATTCCATGAAAAGAATTTCCAACGCTGGAGAAAGCCTACTGGCAATATCGTGAAAAGATCGTATCGTTGAATGCCGGACGAGACTCCGACCCCCGGACGTATCACAGACGATGCTCGAAAAAATATAGACTGAGCCAAGCTCACAGCGAAGCATCGTCACTCCCTGATCATCTCCCCATCATCTCCTCCGAAGAAGCGCGCACCTAGAGGGGGGCAAAGACCATGTCTTTCCCCCAGAATTCGTCGGTCGTAAGGCCATAGAATCCGAGGAATGGGGGGGGGGTATTTCAGGAGGAGGGAATCGCGCACCTGTGCGACTTCTCCTGAGCTTAGAAGGAGAAAATGCCCCCGCGATTCTTCATGTGAACTCCGCGCAGGAGGGACTCGATGTGTGTGCGGATGACGCTTGGCGGCGTAATAGACTCATCGAACTCGCGTATTCGATGCGGAAGGCAGGGCGAGGCGTTTGTAGAAATCCAGCTACCCCGATCGATGATGCTTGTCATCCGCTCCACCTCTGACTCGGTCGATCCTTCACGAGAATGCCGCGGCGAACTTTCAGCTCCCACTTCACTACCTGATTCGATGCGGGGGCTCCAGCTCGAATCCCGACAACCCGAATTAGTCGTTTCGTCCAGCGATTGCGCCGCCTGATCGAGCCTTCTGTGGGGAGGCATTCCTATATATTCTCGAGCGCTCCGAATGATACCGCTGCGCCTCGCCCGAGAATGGGAGAAAAGCGAGAATAAGCTCCATGTACCATATTGAAGAGCGACTTTCGTTCTTCTGGACTCTGCATCGCTCTCCCGGCAGGACCAGTGCGGGACGAAGGGATTTCGAAGTCACCATCGCGAATTTCCGAAACGAGACGATCTCCTCGCTTTTCTTCTCTCGAATAATGCGTCGATGGAGGGCTTCCGAGCCCGAGAGTCCAAATCGCTGTTTTCATAGTCACGCTGGGACAACTATGGGATCACCGGTTGTTCCAAGTGTATCGCGTTCTCGTTTCCGGTCTCGGTGAATCGCGCCGTATTGCTCTGATGAATCGATTCCTGACCGCGCGATAGAACAGAGGATTATGATCGGGAGTTGAGTTGATGCGATTATCCGGATTTGGCAGGGATACCGCTGCTTTGAATTTTGCGATGCGCGATCACTGCGTCGTATCAGGATTGCGCCATCGATCCATCCGGATAGGACGATTCCAGGGTAAAACATCTACTGGATTATTTGGAGCTTAGATTTTCGGTCCCCGACGTTTCGCCCTGCATCAAGTCATGAAATTCGCTATCATCGATATGGAAATCGGGACGAACAAGAGTCCGAACCCGAAAAATTCATGGGCGATGAACGTTCTCGTTGCGCTTACGAGCGTTCGCATGAATTTTGTGATCGAGTTTGCTTTTCTCTCAAAAGTGGATTACTCAAGTCTGATGCCGTAAATTTCACAAGCCGTAGTGCTATCCTCGAGGGAGCAAGAGATTGTGAAAGAGATTTATGAGCCGACAGTTTCCATTGCGAAATGCAGTCGACCTTGAGTATTCAACAGGACAAGTGTCCGGGGGGAACCTGTATGCGGCATCGCTCTACGTCCGATGGTGCCGATAATGGTGGTCATCTCGTCACGGTCAACGGAGCCTCCTCATTCGAACGTTCCATCTCCGGGAATACAGCGCGAGAAACGGTCGACATCATGAATCAGTAACAGAATCGTTTCAGACATATGCTTCCCTCCACGGAATCTCACGGAAGCTCGTGTTTGACGGACTTGTGTTTTTCTCCTCAATAGGACTCAATAAAATCTTTAGCGCGACGGATTCGCGGTCATCTTGATGATATCTCACAGGATGGCGACGAACTTCCTCGATAGGATCTTGTGTCTTGAGGTTGTTTTCTTTCCTCGATGGAATGCTTTGCGACGGTTTCTTCTAGACTAGTCTCGATGGAATTCCATGAGTCATGTCATGAGATAGCGATGGTGTTCCCCTATGGGATCTCATGGGAGCTTGTGGATGACGGGCTCGCGTTTTTTCTCGATTGGATTCAAGGGAATCCTGAGCTCGACGGATTGCCCCTTTCGATAGAGATGGACAAGTTTCAAAGGTAGGGATGAGATCTTTGAGCTATGACGTGTGACTTTCGGAAGATGCCCAGAATCGAGACTCCGCGATCTTCATATCATTCCCAGACGTCTCACCCATACAGCAGGCACCAGACATCCGATTACCTCGACTTTGTTTCCGCTGGCCCTTCGACGAAAGCCGGGGAAGGGGCGAACCGCAAAATGTTCCCCCGCGCGGATGCGAAGAGATACTCCCCAAGCACATGCATCATTCTCGCGTGAGTTACTTCATTACAACCATCGAGGCCCAGGTTCCGGAAGTCTGTAAACCTCCGAATCGAAATAGGACCCATCGAACCGCAATATGGTGACTGCTCGGGTACACGTTCACTCGCAGCCGGGAGAAGTGGTCGCCGGGCGGCGGTCGGTCGGCAGCGACGCATGGACGCCGGGCGACATTTGAGGACTGGGCGCAAGAAGTGGATGTTCATTCAAAAATAGTCGTGCTCCTCATTTATCCTTCCCACAGGCTTGCGCGATTCCGCGAAGAGTTTCCAACAGCGAACGATTTCCGGTATCCAGGACAATCCCCATGATGCGTTCGTCGTTCTCCACACAGCGGCGCGACGATCGGGCAAATGTTGGGCTGCTATGTATCTTTTATGCTCTCTGTTAGTGGTCCGTGCACCAACGTTCCTAATGATCAAGGCAGAAAGGGATAATCAGACTCACTACTCAGACCATCCTTCTTCACAACTCGGGATTATCCTGCGTCTCAAGATCAATTCAGCAGCTATCGAAGAGGATGGAAAGGTTACCCGAAGTGGTTCCAGAGCCCCCGTGGGAAAACGGGATCGTTTTCCAACCAGGTTTTTATGAAATAATCCTTGAATTGAGTGAGCTTCTGATAAGCTTCGTGGTTCGTGCCTGGGGATTCCGCTTCCACCTCCAACCACGCATCGTCGAGGCTTGAGAGTGGCACAAGGCTCAATGCCATGCAGCCTCTGATGTACCTGTGGTAGACAATCACCTTAAACACCTTTCAAGGTTTCTTGGAAATGCCGAAGTTGCGAATATAGGTATCATATGGGTTCAGTAAGCCTCAAATGCTCAACACCTACTTCTCCACGGCGGGATCGTTTCCGTAAGGCATCGTCAATCCCTCGCGCTGGACCCTCCTCCACAGGGCCTGAGTGTAATGAAAATTACACCCTTTAATTTCGGCGAGGGGGAACTTCTCTTGAATCGCCCGAAGTACAGCGAGCTCGAAATCGACTTGAAATTTCTGGGGTTGGAGACAGAAATTTCTACTGGCGGCGCATCCCTTCAAAAGATCAAACGCTCGAAGGTATGTATTCGTGCTCTTGTCGGGTAGGAGGAGATAAACGAGAGGCATCATTTGCCCCCTGTAGAAGGCATGTAGAGTGTACAATTGGCAGAATATGTTGGGAACTACTCGGAATGTTCCGTCCATATAGATTACAGGAGCTTGAGTCAAGATCCGCAGAGTCTCATCCGTGCCGAGACCGACAATTTTCCCATCGCCTCCGTCGTTGAACAGAACGAAGTTCTGTCCAGAATGAGTCTGGGACCATACGCCGACAAGTGATAAGTCAGCTCGACAAGCGGGTAGCGGAGGCCGCTGTGTTGCTCTCTGTCTCTGGAGAATGCTGCGAACGTTCTTGTAGGTAGGCATCGCTGCAGCGATCTTCTCCGTAGGATGAGACCTTTCCGTCTCTACAAAGCTGTCCGCCAAAACTTGCTGGTAGACCTCTTTGCTCGATTTGTGCGGCCGACTTAAGCATTGCTCCTTCATACCGAGAATCGCTTTTCGTCGCATCAGATCGTCACTCTCTCCGGTGTGATTGTGCGCTCCTTTCTCCTCCGCTAGCATTGTCACCTAGGTATAAGCGAGCAAATATCCAGGAGCGAATCCACGTTCAAGTCCTCGATTATTCAGAATTTAGACCACGAATAACCAAGGCTCTATGATCCTCATGTCATAGAAAGCTCCTACCTTATCCACGATGACTCGGGACCCGCACTTATCACCCTTACTGCGTACACATCTACAGTAGATTCGCTCCCCTTTTTTGCGTCGACGGAGTAAAGAAAGTTCCCAACGCGGTACAGCGGCTTACCCCACGCGGATTTCAAGACTTCAACCTCCATACTCATTCTCGACAGGAAGACTCCGGAATACTCACAACTCACAA